TCTCGTGATCACTATACCCGCCCCCGGCCCGGAAACTCCACCCCAACCCCTCCGCGGCGGAAAGTTATGAAGCTTCCAACATTAATCTGTCTCTTAAATACGGATGACGGTGATGTGTTTCTTTTTCTTTCCCCCAAAAACATTTCCATCTTGTTCGTTGAAAGTAAATGTTTATCTCGGCGCGTGTGCGCCACGTGTGCCGCCTCAGCAGGTGGCGATTTGTTGACCGCCCTGATACAGTCGGGGAACGCGTCCCTCAAACGGGCTCCGCTTCCGCTCCTCGCCCCGTGGGTCTTAAAGGGAAGGGGGTCGTTCCAATAATACTGCGTGACTTTCTAAGGGGGTACAAATATTATGGGCCCCTCAAAAATATCGGGAGAATCATTGGAGTCCAAGGAGACCCCATGATATTTTTACCCCGGGGTACAAATATCATGGGGTCTCTTATGAATTCCAATGATGTTTCCGTAGGACCTCGTAATATTTGTACTCCAGGATAAAAACATGTCATGGGGTATCTATGGACTACAATAATGTTTCCGATCCTTTTGGTACCCCATAATATTTGTACCCCCCACCCCCACCCCCTTAAAAGTCACGTAGTATTGGAACGACCCCTAACTGCCAGCCGACACGCCGCGCCGCGCCGCACCGGCTGACCTAATGAAGGCCGCGAGTTTGGCGGGGCCAGGAGGGGGCAACACGACGCGATTATCCGTTTTTACAGGAAGTGAGGCGGCGGGGCGGCGGCGGCCCGGGGGCGGCCCGGGGGCGGTAATTAGGGTGACGCCTGGAAGCAGGTGCTCCGCGTCCCACCACCACGGGGGGGCGCGGCGGAGTGCCGGCGCGGCTGTTGGGGGGGTGCGTGTAACGTTGTTGTGTTGTCATCGGATTCCTTTTAAAATGACATAGCAGCAGGGCCTTGTACAGAAAAAAAGGGAGATTGTCGCGTTTTTACGAAATATATGAACCTTATATTTATTTGTGACTTAGACTAAGTATATATATATAAATCTTAAGGAATCATATGAGGACACACACTGGTAAAAAATCCATTTAAAATCTGTTTTGAGGTATGTAGTGCTAAATTTC